AATATGTGTGGCACCAGATGATAATGCAATCTGTCATAATTCTGTTAGACTATTGGGCATGAAAGTATGGGTGGCATGACTTAGCCAGGTGCGCTGTTGGCCAGGTGCTAGTTCTTTTTGGTCCCTGAAGAAGCTGTGACAGAGAATATGCTGCTCATTTATTTGGTCTCTTGTTTTTATGCAGGAAGATATTTCTAGGTTACGCAGGAAGCTGGAGACCACTAAGAAGCCTGACATGGTTCCCAACTGTGATGAGATATTGATGGAAGAAATCAAGGATTACAAGGTGAGTAGCTGCCTCTGTCAGCTTTGCTCTTTAACTCTACTTTCCTCAAAAGGCTGTGTAGTCATGTTTTCAGTATTTGACATCTCTTGTCTGTACTCTGGCGTTGTAGACCATTTTGCATTGAAGAAACCACCTTCTCCTTATGAGGAATGGAAGGACCTTCCTCTTCTGTCATCTTACACACCTAGTGCAATGCAGTGGGCCCTCACTAGAATGTTTCTGTCTTGCAGGCCCGCCTGACCTGCCCATGCTGCAACATGCGCAAAAAGGATGCTGTGCTCACAAAGTGCTTTCATGTCTTCTGTTTCGAGTGTGTGAAAACACGCTATGACACCCGTCAGCGTAAGTGCCCCAAGTGCAATGCTGCCTTTGGTGCCAATGACTTCCATAGGATCTACATCGGTTGATTCTTTCCACCGCTGTGACAGAAAGTTGCCGCTTACGCTGACCACTCAGCCTCCCTCACTTTCTGTGATTGTCACCTTTGGGGTAGTCAGTGCTTCTGTCAGCTGATCAGTCTCTTCTGGGAAGTGTGGTTAGGGTATAGAAAGAAACAGGTTCTGGGTCTTGGTTCCTTTCTTGTCCCTCTTCTTTTATTCTTGCCCTCAGTTTTTGTGGATTCTTTGTGCCTGTGAGGCCATTTCCTGTCTATCACTTTCACACTGCCAAGTTGGGAACATCTAATTGAAGTCCTGCCTTGATGGGATGGAAGCTGTCTGTGGTGCAGCCAGAGACAAACGAGGCCTTTGAGGAGTTTGCTTTGGATGTTAATTGTTAAATCACATCAAGGTATGGTAGTGTTTCTGAGAGTGAATAGTTTCCCAGTTAAAGGGCCAAATAACGAATGGACAGGTACCTTGGTAGACTTCAGTGGAATGACTCCTTAGATGTGTGTCTTCCTGAGTCAGGGCAAAAATCTGAAGGCTGGTGCATTAGTAAACATCCTCCCTACCTGCAGACCAAATGCAACCTTAGCATCCAGAAGAGGAGAAAGGTAAGATATTGGGCAATCTTTGAAAATAGCATTCCCACTGATGAACCCTACTTGATGTGGACATCTTACCCCTAGGTTGAGGCATTGCTGTCATTGTCCTTAGTTTCCAGAGAATATAATTTGTAGGGGTTACTTTGTTGCAACTTTGCCACAAAGATTAATCATGTAATGCACAAAATCTAATAAAAGCTATTGTCCGCGTTACTTTTCTGTTTTTCTTGCCTCTGGTAGTATCTATCTGTGCTCCTGTCCTTTGTCCAATTACTGGAAACATTTTTCACAAGCTTTAAGCTTCTAAAGTAGATTAATTTCTTCCCTCCTCTGTTTTCAAAAAACGGTTAACTAAAATAACCTTTGTCCTTCTGGCTTTATCTTCACTATCTTATTCCTGGCACAATAGAAGGGCCAAGATGCTGGACTATTTATGCAGTCATTTTGTCATGGCCACTAGGAATTTTGTGGAAGAACATGGCATAGATCATAGTCTGTATGCTACCTGTAGTGCAAGGCTGTATTTGAAGTCTGCTCCTAAAATCAAAACGCAAAGTCATTTATTTACAGTATTCCTTCATAAGGGCATTGTGTTTTCTTGTATACTTCATTTTTTTTGGAAGATGAAGATGCAACTGTCAGAAATTTGTCTCATCTATATCCCTTCCCTGAATCATAAAATCTGTATTACCTTCCTGTATTCACTGTAGGAAGTAACAGAAACAATAGTAAAGTGAAAGCAATTAGTTGCAGATTGTCTTATAGTATGCATTATTATTTTTCATCCAGAAAATATGAATTAAAACGTGTAAATTGTTATGAATCCTGAAAAGTGAGAAGGAACACATGACCTGATCTTTGCAAGGGGAAGCTGGAATGCTGAGAGTTTGTGGTATGGCTCAAGTTCTGTTACAGCATGTGTAGAAGAAATGAAAGCAGAACCCTCTCTGCTTTCACTGGAAGTTGGTCCCTGGATTACAGCTTGTGATGTCAAACTGGAGAAAGAACGATATGTTAGGAATACTAATGCTGGTAGATCTTGAGTTCATCAAAACCAGGACCTGGGTCACTGACAAACATTGTCTGCATCTTTAAACAGCTTTGCTATAACAGCAGACTTCCTTTTACAGCTCTGAACAACAATCTGAATTAAACAGCTCTTTGAGAGATGCAAAGCCCTTTGCCCTTCCCAGTCATGAAGTCACATCACCTTTCTACTGAAAATCAAGCTTGAAATTTTCGTGTGTATACTGGCAGCATTGGGTTCACTCTGGTCATGGTAGGAAACAAATACTTGAAACAGTCTGGATTTGTTTCACAGATGAGATTTGTAAACTCCTATTTTCTCTTTCTTCACCAAGAACAATGTATTTACTTATTTTAAAATAATATTTTATTTCATGTTCAGGAAGTCCTTGAAGCTCATTTTGAAAGTGGCTTTATTTCTCTCTGTGCTTATAATTTAAACATGGAGAAACAGTGAAAATTTCAGGTGGTCTGTTTTGACTTGCCAAAATGAGTGGAAATAATTAAAACTTTATCAAGACTAGAACTATTTTGGTGTAAAAGAAGGGGAGGGGTGACAAGTATTCTTTCTGAAAAATCTGTCTTAATTCAGTGTCTGAGCCAGAGTAATTAAATGTAAACAAAGGAAAAGCCTCATTTACAGTCTCCAGTGCCTCCTGTCATAGCCAAATGTCCCCCTACTTATGTAGTCTGCAGGCATTGACAGGTGTGCGTACTCCCGATGCCATAGCAAGCGATGGCAGTCTTGTTTTCTGTCTCCTACGGGATCAGGCTGGAGCAATAAAGAAAATAACATTGCCAAAACATGTCTCTGTTGGGCAACTATAACTTGGACCTTCTCCCAAAAGGCTTCTAGTTGGTGCTGGAGTAATTTGGAGCAATCCCTCTTCTGCATTTGGCATGGGGGTAGCCCCTAAGGCACCCACGAGAAATACAGATTTTTTTGCTTAAGATTAATTATTAGGTGGTTTTAAATTAAGAGTGATTTGCTGAAAAAGATTGGGTGTCTGGACTGGAACTTTAAAACATACATTTTTGTTTAAGACATCATTAGCGTTCTCAATTACTTTAAAAATAATCTTTTTCGGGGCTCATGCATGTAGAGGTAGGGACATCACAAACTATTGATAAACATGCTGATAAAATTGGGCTGAAATACTTTCCTAGTGTTTGTCTCATAATAATGAAAAGAGCAGTGTTCATGTGTTCTAACCAAATGATGTTGGAGGTTGTAAGGTACTGGATCCTACACAAACAAAAAGCTTTTCTTAAAAAGCTAATGATCTAAAGGAGGGAGGGCAACAAAAGCAACCCAAGTGACTTGCCCACAGTCATCTAGCTTGGCAGGAGCAAGGAAAGAAGGGACATCCTAGGTCTGAAGCATCTATCTGATGTGTAGGGCTCGGAATCCCACTTGCCTGGTTTATGTCCTAATTACCCTTTCCTGTGTTACTGACTGTAGTGGATGAAGCAGACACAATTGCTGCCCAAAAGCAGAGGCCAAGGACTCAAGCAGCTAATAGAATATGAACTCGATGAAGCCAGTTAGTGTCGGTATCACAGCTATCAGCTTTTAGTGGTCCATGCAGATCTTTTAATTTGCAAGTGTTTTTCAAAGGCTGAAAGTGCAAAAAGGTAGAATGCCTTTTTGAAACACCAAAATACAATTTTGGATCTGCCTATAGCTTTTAAACCATGCCTGGTGAGAACATAACCCCTGGCAAGACTCACACAGGTGTCTGGAGATACAGAGAGGGTAAAAATGACTTTGATGGATGTGGGAGACCAGAGTTAATTCCGACTGTTAAAAATGTTTTTTTCCCTGTGATACAGGATGTGTTGGGAAGTGTTGTTTAAAAATTGAAAGAAATCCTGTTCAAATAACACAGTCACTTGGGTTGATGCAGTATTTATTCAGATGCTGAACAGCTTACCCTTCCTTCCCCTCTACTCATCATCCAGGTGGGAGGGAACTCCACTCAGTACATTGCCTTTGAAACTCATTCTCCTTCACAGTGAGCCCTGGTCCACAGGGAGGCTTTGGTGACTCTCTTTGACTTTGGTGGGAGCTTGGTGTCAGAATAAATCATGGATCAGAACCCCTTTATGTCACTTTGGCTGTGAGAAAGAATCTTACTGTCAACTGAAGACAGAAAATATTAAAGGAGCGAGTAGTTTCGCAGTGATAAATACCTCACCTTCAGCGTAAGTACTGGTTTACAGTACTGCCACCCCTCCTTTCTCATCATCCTGGCTCTGTGCCACAGTGAACCCATACCCTCGCATCTCCTGGTACAGCTGTTTGCATGGCTTCTCTCTGGGTGGGAGTGGAAGCCAAGCCGAGGCTCAGAAGCAGACAGAGGTGGTGGTTTGGTTTTTGTCAAGTTATTTTGAAGGTGGGTGAGTTCCTTTATCACAGTCACAGAGCAGCCACATCTGCTTTTGTGCTGACTGAGCTGAGGGAATGCTGTGTACTGGGATTGCCACCAAGAATTTGTTTTGTGAAACCACACTCTGTGCCAGGAGGGAAGGGATTGCCAACACAGAACGAGCACCTAGTGTAATGAGGCAACCATAAGGAGCCTTAGCATGAATGGAGACTAGACCCATAGATATCACAACAAAAACATACCAACAAGGGACATGCTTCCAATGAGCAGTTTAAATTTGCTTCTATTTTTTTTTTCCTTTTTTTTTTTTTTGAATTAATGCACAGAAAGGGCTAAAAAAGTGGGAACCCCACTGTACTGTCAAGTAGAGGAACCAGGAACTCTTACTGTTTGGATGCTCCTTGTTTCTCTAGTCCTTTGGGAATGGCTGATGTTTGCCAGGAGAATGAGAAACTTTTCAAGAAAGGAGGAGGACTCAGGAGGGTGGCAGTGGCTGTGGGCTGCTGCAGTTCTCCTCTCATGAAAAGCATATTGCCTGCTTTATTTTTGCACCTCTTTCTGGCATTACAAAAGTGTTTTACAAATTTTACAGAGGAAGGGGAGAAAGGAAGAAAAGGGGAGGGGGCCCAGGTATGCTGTGGCCTAGGGCTCTGCAGTCCTGTTTGTCCTCTGATACTCTTCCAGCTCTGATTTCCTCTCCATAGCGAGTTGCAGCTCCTGCTTGATGATTTCAATCTGCTTCTCCAGCTCCTTAAGCTCTTGCATCACTGAGGTCCTAGCAATATTGAGGGACTCTGCTTTCCCGTTGGTTGTTAAAGAAGCCGGAGTCTCTCTCCTCACCTGTGGCAGGGGGATGTCTTGGTGCTGTCCCACTGTCACCTCATTTTTCCCTTCATCAGTGCAGATGTATTTTTTCCCGTGACAGTTGCCCGGATTGGCTGTATTCCACACAGCATGCTGGCTGTTCCCTACATGGGACCTGAACAGAGATGTGAGAGTTAATACAAAATCAGAACCTGCTCTTGGGTGTATGCAGCCCTCCCCTCTGAGCCATTCTACTGGAAAAATATGATGCTGCTGTTACAAATTACATAGAAATATTATTCCTTTATCCTTGGAATTACTGTTTTTGAGAAGCACAAATCATTGATGTAAATGGCTGAATTTTTGTGATTAAACCATAGCACAGACTAGAACAGAATCCTAGAATTCATCTTCCCCAAAACTTCATTTTTGTTAGTTATGAAATTACAGTCCTCTCAACTCCAGCTCAGGAAAATTTGAGTCCTCCTCCAAAGCTTCCTGAAAGCTTTTGTGGTTGCATTGTCTGAAGTAGATTATGGTGTTACTCCTTTGTGTTAATAATCTGTGCTATCTTGGGCATTTACTTCCATGGCAGAGGAAAGAGACTGCCTAGAGTTGGTGTGGGGAGACATAGGGGAAAGCATGCCCTTTGGACTTGGAAGTCTTGTTGAGCAGCTGCTTGCGCTTTGGGGGATAGACACAACAAGGTGGTGTATCCAAACCTGAAAAAAATTGGTTTTAGGAGGTTTGTTTTAGGAGGAGTCTGGACCTGACAGTCCACAGACAGTGTGGACAAAAAAGTCTGCCTAGCAAAGAGCGTAACTACTTAGAAGGGGCTGTGGTGCCCAAAGCTGTCTCCCTGCTGTGTAGCTCTGCCAAACCTGTGGTCACCAGGGTTCTGGGCAGCCAGTATGACCAACTTACCTCGAAGCAGAAGTACATGTTTCAAAGAAGCTGCAGCCCTTTGTTTTGTAGGTATTTCTCAGAGTCACATCACTAATCCATAATTTCTGATACACTTTTCTTTCCTCTCATAAAAACATAACTTTTTAATAAAGTGTTAGTACTGATACAGCTGCTGCTGCTGCTGGCGGTGCTTTTGTCTGGTCAGGTGGTTTTAATAAAGGCCAGAGTCCACAGTTAATACTCAAGTTTCATAAAGTAAATAAAACCCTTTACAATTTGGCTACTGATGCTGAGCAGCTCTCCTAGTTCTTGGAAAGTTATGACCTGAAAAAAACAGTAGATTTTCTTCCCCGAGAAGAACAGCAGTAGCATAATACAAATTCTTTCACCTCTTTGCTGTATCTTAGTACTTTTAATAATTCCACAGTTCCCAGCAGGAATAAAATAATAACATAATTGATTTGAGAGCCCGGGGTCATACCTTGCCACATCAGTGTTCATCGCAAGCTGGGCACCATTACTACTAGGTGTCTGTAGTTAAATTCACCATAATTCTGTGCAAACAGCAGCTCAGACCATAAGAAAAGCAAGGATGGTGGGTGGGTGTGTATGCACACACATGTGGGCTTGACGCTGTGTGGGCAGAAGTTTTTGGGCAGCAGCACATCTTCACCCTCAATGTTGAGAGAATACTCGTGTGGTTCTTTTTCTAAGCCACTCTCTGTGGGGCTTATGGCCATCTTCTGTTAAGAAATTTTTGCACTGCTCAATATCTGGCAAATGATATCATGAAAGACACAGAGAGCACTCTCCTCTGGAAGACTTCCTCCAGCTGAGTTAGTGTCTCAGGTTGTGGGACTGTGAACGCTATCATCCAGTGAGGAGGGTGTAAGAGGAGGAAATGCTTTGCACCAGTCAGCTCCCGGTACAGTGTTCAAAGATCAAAAGTGAGGAGTTGCTGTGTACAAGGAGATGCCACACTATGGGGTTTTGTGGGGTAGTAAGATGAAGGAATGAATGCAGGAAATTAATTGTATGTGCTTTTATGTACTTGGTATAGGCAGTCTGCAAGCTTATAATGCTTACTTAAATTTGCTGCCATTAGTGCAGGAATGAGAAACTAAACACAACATACATTTACATATTGGGTTTCAGTCATGCCAAATATCTAGCAACAGCCTGGGAAACATTTTTTTTTCTATAGTTTGAGGCAGAACTTATCTGTAGAAAAGCAATACTGCTGCCTGTGTCCTTAGAAAATGCACTAATAGTTTCGAGTTACTGAGCAAAGTATAGTTGTAATAAAATGCCTTGTGTTTCTGGTAGCTATAGATAAGATTGTCCCCTCTGCAGAAGATATAGGCTATGAAAACAAGAGTTATTTGAGACAAAGGTTTCTGAAAGGACTGCATTTTCCTCTTCTCAGCTTTCTTATTTCTCATTGTAAAAAACAGGAAAGCTGAAAGTTTCTAACATATATACTGCCTGACCTCCCATTCTCTGAAGCTACGTCACAGGGCCCTTGCTTTCTGCTAGTGCTTTAGTATGTGAGTAATTACCTAAAACCAAGGGCAACAGCCTTAAAAAAATGGCAAAGCCTGTCTTTAGAATGGAGGTGCTTTTATTAGCTTGTATGCAAAATTATTAAAGAACAGAACTTCAGGATTTTGTTTCTGTTGGAAACAATTAATTTATGCCTCTCTCTTGTCGCTTCTATCTTGTTTCTTTTCTTTTTTTTTTTTTTTAATTATCTCTGGAGTGTATTACATCCATCAGTAGATATCCAAACACAACGTATGTAACGTCAAAGTATTTTTTGAAGTTTGTGTTTTAAGGCATGAAAAACTTCCTACCTTGTTTCTACATGTTTTGTCTTAGGCTGGCGTTTGTCATCAATAAATGAACTGTTCAGAGCACGATGTAATCTCTAGAGTGAAAAGAAGAAAATAAATTAGAAAAAGCAAGATTAAGAATAGCCCCATAAATAGGTAAACCATTTGAGCTTTGTGTGATGGACTTGAGCATAAATTATTTTGCACGTTCAAGGATACAAGCGATGCCTGTGCTTTGTCATTACAACAGATTTATTTTCCCATACTTTCCCAAGGAAGGGCAATCTGAAAGGTTGATAGTTTGCACACAATCCTTGGTGTCAGAATTCCTCAGAAAAAAAGTGGATCTTGGCAAACTTTGTTACTTTCTAAATATCTCTTTCACTGTGCTTCTTTAAAGGAATAGGAGCTCTTCCTTTTTTTGCCTTTGCTGCAAAGTAACCTCTTCCTTTAGAGCAAACTCCTAGAGCAATTTTCTTCCATTATTTTCCCTAGAAATTTTTCCCTAGAATGTATCTCCTGCATGCATCAAAATTTTGGGAACCTGTAACAGTGAGAGAAAATGTTCTGCTTAGCCAGTTCAGGACAATAACACTTGTTTCTTGTGTCCAAGAGTTGTAAGGTTAAGAGAGCAAATGGGGAGGTCCCTTCTGTAGGCTTCGCAATTGTAAATATTTGAACTCTGTGCTTCTCATTCCATCACAGAGTAAGCCTCTTCAAATTCCAGAAGCTGCTGTCACACTTCAAATGCCAATCATCAGTGCTCTTACAACTTTTTACACCTTGTTCTTGTCCAGGCCTTTTAAATCAGCCACATGACTTTCACAGGGTTCCTTTTGAATACGTACCTGACTTGTATGGAGCCAGTACTTCATCTTGGATTTCTTCTTGATTCGTGGTAGGACCAGTCTGTACACGATGTGTTCCCCAATGGTAGTGAGAATGGACAAGCCAAACCCAATGCACAACATCACAAAGAGCCCAGAAAAATGCTTGATTCCCATTTGCAGTGTCTGTGAATAAAACCAAAAGGGGAAGTAAATGAAGTAGGCTGTTAGTGTATTTTAACAGGTGCTTCTGTTTTCTCATCTGGAAATGTGGTCTGACTGAATACAGAGTGGTGAAATACTGCAGAATAGTCTGGACACTGTTCACAACAAAGCCTTTCTGTGCTGCAGGAAGCTTGGTGTTCAATCAGAGGAAAGGACTCATCATGGGAATGAGAATCAAAGACCAGGCAATTGTTTTCCTCATGCTGTTCCCCTAATAAGGTTAACTGTTGACCATGTACAAGAAAACAGTATTTGTGGTGTCTTTGCACTTGTAAAAGCAAATACTGCTTGACAGAATGCAGTCAATGAACTGTAGACCAAGTCCTTCATCAGCAGTGAGCCAAGACCGACTGTTCCTATTTTCTGGGAAGTGATCATTAACTTCCACTTTTTGTGCTTCATCCTTGACAGAAGGTCATGGAGAAAATGTTTTGAAGTAGTAGCACAAACACGACACTTCTCTACTCTCTACATTAACAGGACTGCAATTGTGTTTGTTAGTAACCCCGACTGCAATTATGAACACTCTCACCTTGTTCTGCCAACCCACCTTTTTCATGTAGGGTAGGAAGCCTTTAATTAAAGTCTCTCATTGGCATTAATCTTATCTGAAGACCAAGAAACCATGTACAACAGCAATCTGTACTACTAACTCCTGCACCCCAATGCGTGGGTGAGGTTTGCATGTTATGTATAATCTTAGTACCTTTATTCTCATGCCTCCATAACTCAGTTATGAGTTTATCAGCAACTAAAAACTCTTGCTAATAATTACTACCCACAGACTACTTTGGAAATACTTCCAAGAATACAAGTTCTACTTGTGCCTTTCTGTTAAAGAATGTTATTCCCCGCGTTGGAAAAAAAAAGGAGCAGAAAATTGCTTCGGTAGGGTTGTGTGCCAGGAGATAGTATCTGGGATTCTATCACCCTGGATAATGGACCTGTGTGTTCCTTCAGTTTGTTGTTAGTTTGGTGGGTGGTGGTGGGGATTGTTCTTTGTTATGACTAGAACAGTGTAATTCAGAAAAGAAAGTGGAGTTAGTCAAAAGATGTATCACAGAATGTCTGAAAAATCTTATGAGGTCATTTTAAGCCAAAGTTGATTAGTGATGAGTCCATTGAAGTTGAAGGCCTGGAAGCCCCTTTCTGTACTTTTGTTGGGTGACTGTAAGCAGTATTTCTGCCTTCTGGTTTTCATATTTGATTTCTGTTCTTTAAAACACGATGATACAAGATAGCATATCACAGATTTTTAGCAAGAACAGAACTTCAGCAATCTAGCAGAGTGAGAAATTTTGCGTGTGGCACTGGCAATGAGCTCTGTTTCGGAGGTTCTCTGCCAAAATCAACCTGCTTGCCCCGAAGCACACTGAGCAGAATTTTTGTACCAGTGAATAAACACTTCAAGGGTGTTGAAAGGTATAATGGAGGTATAAAAGCAATTTCTAAAGAAACTTGCTGTGGCCAGGAAAGGGAAGTGGAAAACCACAACAGAGTGATTCTGAAGTAGAAGGGTGTCAAGAGTCTTGGCACGAGGGTCTTCTGATGCTAAGAGTGCATCAGTTCAACCTAAAAGCAAAACGTCCCTTTGAGCATTGGAATTTTGTGTTGGCAAGAGCCTGTTGTCCCATACGTTGTCCTTCTAGTTAGGGGAACAAGAAGGCGACACATAAATCATAGGTGGTAACACCTTCAACCTCTCAAAACCCAAAGTGTTTGAGAGGAGGCCTGTGTTACCTGGCCTGCTTATTTTAATCAGCAGTGAAGCCCAACTTTTAGCCCATGTAGTGTAAAAGCAGAATGAGGCCCCACATCTGACCTTTTTCTCAGAGGTCTTTAAAGCCAAGACCTCAGTATGGACTATCTCAGAATAAGTACCTGTAAGAAGCAAAAAGACTGCGCTCTGTACTAGCTGAACATGCCAGTTAAATGTGCTTTTGCTACTTCTCCAAGAGCCACTAATGCAAATCATTTGCTTCTCAAAAAGTATGGTAAGAGGCAAGTATGAAACAGCTTCCTTAGAGATGTAGAGTTTACAGTAGATACAAAAATAAATTGAATGAGAAAAAGAATAATTGAAAAGGAATAATTTGCTCAGTCATCTGAAGAACACACCTGTGTGTGTGTATATGTATATATACACGCTCCCAAGCTACTCCTGTTTAGTGTCATGCAAAGTAGCAGTCTACGAGTGGACACTGCCACAACTGCCTCAGTGGCAGGAACCAGTCAATCAGCTATATGAAGGTCCTTTTGAGGATCTTGAGAAGTAATGCAGAAGTTCCCAAAGGCAGCAGAAATCACTAAGGAGGCCTGATCTGCTAGTGTTAGGTTGCTGTATGGTAGGGAGTATTTATATTGCTAAGAATAGGAACTAGGCTTAATGGAATATGATAAAACTCTAGCCATTCAAAGCAATAATAAGAGACACAGTGGCAATTGCAGTGAGGATTCCTGCATGTGTGAGATGTCTCCACCAGCCTGAGGACAGTGTTTGATGTCACTCCAGTAGTGCTGCAGAGAGAACACTTGGCCAGCTCCTTACATGAAAAATAACTCCCTTGTCTTCAGAAAAGCTGCTCTGATCTATGCTGATGAGGGGGTCTGGCTCGCTGTTCCGTCAGCTCTGCAAAATAGTTTTCTACCTTCCCTGGAAACAGGTGGAAGAAATTCCAGCACTGGCTTCTCGGATGCTTTTTTCACTTGTAATGGATAGCTTTTGAAATTGTCCCAAACGAGACATCTTTTCCTCGGAAAGGAAATGCCAAAACAAAGCATCAATAGTATTTCAACTAGCAATACAGAAGATAATGCATTGGAAGAGCTGCCTGATAAAGGCTGCACAGTAGAGGGAAATTTTTGAGACTAAATTAAATGGGGAAGCAAGGTAGGGGAGAAATAATTAGCACAGTGTGTCTTACAGTGTACGGAGTGATTATGTATAGCAATTTCAGCACATTTACATACCATTGGAAAAAGACAATTTATCAGCTGTTCATAATTACTGTAGACACACACATGTTAAATAATAAAGGAAACCATCTAATAGAGGCACCTCTCATCTTCATAGCTTCATACTGATTGGTATTAGAGCAACAAGCTCTACTACTGTATTTTATAGTTTGTGTATGTATTTGTAGGTGCATTTATAGAATATATTTGGAAAGAGCAGTAATAAACTGGATTCTCTGTATGACTGCTTTCCTCTCTGCTGAAGTGGTAGGGGTGAGGTGTGTGTGAGGTCTTTGCTGGCCAGCTGATTTTCCCTACTCCAGTATCTTTCTTTTTCTTTTTCTTTGAATAAAAGCCCTTAAGGTGGTGTATTCTCTATTAACTCAGCATAAAAATACCCTCCTTGCTCCAACTTTGTAATTATACATTTTAGGGGGTAGCTTCCTGAATTTTAGGAGAAGGAACTCAATTATACCCATGTGGTGGTTCTGAAGCAATAAGCAACTACAGTCAATCCTGTGATGATTACAGCTGATGGATGCTAAGCACTACACTGGCAATCGCCTCAAAGTTATTTGCCACTTGCAAACTGCAAAATTGGGAGCTTCTGAAAACCAACAAATACCAGAACAGAAGTGGAGGTATCTGCTTTTTTATATATGCTTGGAGAGACTTTACTGATTTATCATTCCATATCTGCAATTGCTACCTAAACATTTCCCACTGTCTCTGTAGTTACAGGCTTTTTCCTTTGGGCCCTGAATAGAAGGAAGGGCATGCACAAAAGAGAGTTTAGTATTTGCATTCTTTTTGAATTGGGGTGCAGAGACAAAAAACAGCATTCAGTGATTTCATTATTGGATTTCATGGGCAAAACTCCTGCTTTACTCCCTGCTACAGGAGATTGTAAATGCTTTACTTGCCCTATTTGTACTGACAGCAGTGAGTAAGCCATCAAATACACCTTAGTCCAGCTTTGACTAATTAGAAGCCTCTAAAGATTTTTGTGGGTTCTTTGCAGTTTGGCAGCACAGCACAGATACTGATGCTACACACTGCTGAATCCAAACACTAAATAGGGGCATCATGTGTTTATTAGCTATAATAATAAGCTATCCTTTTTGACAGCATTTTCCCTGGGAGGATTTTAAACAGCTTTGCTGATATTGGAAAGTTAAATTCTGCAGGACCTCTGTGAAGAAGGAATTATTTCCGGCTTTACTAGGGATAAACGGATATGAAGGGCAGATTCCTAAACTCATTTGGGCATCTCAGTAAGTTTGCAAAATCCTACTGATGCTGACGCTTGTATTTAAGTAACTGAACGGTATTAAAACCTGTCTCTGGATTGTGGCATTTCTTGTAGCTGCAGAGACTGATATTTATTTATTTATTATTTGTTCTTATGGCTTTTTGTGCTCTCAAAGAAGTGGCAGCATTGAAGTAGTATACATTTAATCTCTTTAGGGAGATTATCCTTAGCAAAGACAGTGACTGTGGCTTTAGGGTTTCAGTTGCCAAATTTTAAGATACTGTAAATCACTGTCTCACATTAGCAAGGTAAGTTCCCATCCCCTCTTGTTGTGAGGAGTTTTGCACAGATCTGGAAAAATACTCCCTTTTGTAATAAATCTTTTTCTTTCAACTCATCCATTATCCAAGTCCTGTCTGTAGTAGGAAGAACAACAATACACATATCATCCGAATTAAGTACTGAGAAGATGTGTGCCTCTGTGATATTAAAGGCTGGTCAATTAGGAATAACAGCTTTGTCTCCTCAGACAGTGAACAACTTTTTTTTTTTTTCTTCTCAGTTTCAACAGGTGAATCTAAATCTGTTACTCATTTCCAGGAGATTCAAAACATGCTTCTCCTGACTCTATTGTCAGACTCAATACTCACACAGTCCTTTCTTCAGGACCATTGTGGAAAGTATTTTTTTCCCCCGGGCAAGTCCAGATGCCACTGGCTCTTCCCACATTGAGACAACCCCTTTACAATGTGAC